ATCAAAGTTAAAAAAGAAGTGATCATTGTTATTATCTCTCACTTTGTAATTCTTCCTTAGAATCTATTTTAAAAATAATTTGCTAGCTGGGCTTGGTGGCTCAGCCTGTAATCCTGGCGCTTTGGGAAGACGAGGTGAGTGGATTGCCTGAGCCCGCGGGTTCAAGACCCACCTGGACAACTTGGCGAGACCTCATCTCTACAATAAATCAAAAATTAGCCGGGCATGGTAGCGCATGCCTGTAGTTCCAGCTACTTGGAAGGCTGAGGCGGAAGGATCGCTGGAGCCCAGCAGGTTGAGGCTGCAGTGGCCAGGAGTGACCACTGCACTCCAGTCTGGGTGACAGAGTGAGACTCCAACTCAAATAATAATAATAATAATAATAATTTTGCTTTTTGGAAAGGAAAAACTCAACAAATTTTTAAAAGGCCGCTTCAGATCTCTGTTCCACTTTTACATATCAGTTACTAAATTCTGATGTTTGACTACCTGACCATATTTCTCTTGCAACTGATCCTTACTGTGGTCTCTGTGTATCTTTTAACATGGTATTTAATACGAAGTGAATACTCTGATCTGGTTGAATTCTTCATCAAGTGTTCATTGTTGGCCATCTTTTCTCTGAGTAGTGCCTTATGTTGTACCTCAGCTGGTGGCTGGAAGCAAGGACCTAAAAAGAAGGGACAAGGGAGAAGATGTACATGGCCCCTGTTGCTTGGGTCTGCTCCTTCTCAGTGGGCCCCTGCACTCAAACACATACACCCTATTTTCCACTCCAGCTTTATGGAATAGGGATTTGGATTTCCAGTTTGAGGAGGAAGTAAGTCATACACAGGGAATTGATTTGGGGGTAGTAAGTTCCTGTCTGTTCCTGAAGGTCAGAAGAATTGACAATGTCACTGCAGGCACGAACATGGGCTTTGAAGGCAGATACTGACGGATCTGAATCCTGGATCAGCACTATGAGATTTCTCTGCTTCTCAGTTTCCTCATTTGCCAAATAGAGAACTGTATAGCACCAACTAACTTCATAAGGTTCTTGTGAAGTTCAAAAGTGGTCATAAAAATAATAGGTTTTGGACTAGATAGTAAATGGTAGTTGTTATTTAATAGCAATTTCGTCAATACTGGGACATTTCTGTTTTACCATTAACTCAACATTAAGCTTTTTCTTACTTTTTAAGAATTTCTCAGTTCTTTCTTCTATTTTTGAGCTGTAGTGTTCATGCTCACCTCCCTTGCCCAAATCAATCTGCTAAAGAATCCAGTTCTCTCTCTCTTTTCATCTTATGAATCTGTCTCTTATTATGGTGATCTCTTACTGTGTTGTAACTGGACTTCTGTGCTGCTCTTTTATTCTTTGTAAATTCTGACCTTATCTCTAAGAAGTGAATTGCAAACATTTCTGTCTTTCTGTCCAAGCTGAATTTCATATTTTCTGAATCATGAAGCTGCCCTCCATGTGACCTAGAAAGCCCTTTGATGATCCATATTTAGCTGTATCCATCACTCAACAGATGTCTGAGTAGTTAAAGGCCCCCATGAGCTCCCTCTACATCCTGTGGTTTCAAGTTCCTGAGTTGTTAGTGAAAAGCTTTCATCCCCCTACCCCTCACCCATTCCAGGGTAGAAGAACAGATACCCACTTTAGCTATTCATTCGTTTGTTAATTTAACAAACATTTGCTCATTACCTACTATGTGTTTGATACTGGGTTAGATGTTATCCCCTTTGCTTCCAAATTGCATTTTCTTAATCTGACCCATTTAGAGGAGTCCTTTGTATTTTCTGATTATACCTCTAGAAGCAGCATTGGATATCCAATTAAATGGCCTCTTCCATTTCCCCTGGAAGACTTGGAAGCTTAATCACAAACTCTGATGCCTGGCTATGAATTACCTGTGTAATTGGCATCCACAGATCTCAGGATTACAGATGTTCACCATGGCTCTATCAAAGGAAGTTCAGTTAGCAGGTGAGGCTGCAGGACTCGGCTTGTCATCCAGTACCTTGGGCATGAGGAATGATGTGGTAGCAAGGCTAGCATGCCTATCAAGTTAAGTAGCTAATTTCCAAAACCCCTTGGTTTTCTGTGTCCCTGGTTTTCCACAGATATGCCCATGAGGAACGATGCTTCTTTGCTTTTTGAGCTCTCTGGATCTTCCCATTAGATAGCATCTCTTGGCATCTGAAAGGCAGCCTGCCATTCTGTTCTCCAGTGGAACACAGATGGCCCAGCCCACGCCCATCACTAATGAGGATCACATGCAGAGCCTCCTTGCTGGAGGCTCCCTTCAGCAACCCCAGTGCTCCTTCCCTGTGCTGGCCAACCACTGTTGACCATGGCATTTAAATCTGATAAGGCTGTTTGCTGGTCTCCCACTCACAGAGCTGAACAAAAAAATCTATTAGGTAGGCCCTGGGCGATGAGTCACATTCAGTTAGACCCCGAAGACATTAAGGATTAGGGAATGGCTGCCGATTTGATTGTAAGGGTAAGGTTTTGGAATCCAGCTGTCCATGGAGGCTGTTGAGTTTAAACATGAACAAGCACTGGGAGTTCTTCAGTAGGAACATTAGGAGATGGCTATACAAAGGTTGTACAGATAGGATATATCAATTTGTCAATACTATGTAATTTCACCGAGGATGCTAGTAAGGTAGAAAATGATTAGAATAGAATGCTAAAGGCACTAAAATATAGTGGGAAAAGACGGATTTTGATGTGAGAGAGACCTGTGTCAAGTCCTATTCTATCACCTGCTATCTGTTGAACAAGGTACTTCCCCTTTCTATGAGAGAATTTCTTTACCTGTGAAATAAATACAAAGCCTGTATCATAGCTATTCTGAGGATCAAAAGGGATAGCACATGAAACAACCTTGACACAGTGCCTGGCACCTAATAAGCAAAGAATGGGAATTCCCTATCCTATCTCCCTTTCCCGTTTTTTTTCTATAGTAGGAAGTTGAAGATGCACTTCAATATGATTGAACATCAAATAGAGCTAAAAGCAATGGTTCCATATGAAAGTCCATACAATTCTGTTCTTCTATTTTATTTAAAACTTGATTGAATTTGAGATGTGGGATAGCTTTCTTTTTCCTTGCTATTGCAAGTCTGACATAGGTCTGATATTTGTGACTAGAAGAGTTCCAAACTACTAACATGGACCCCAATAAAAGTGCAACATTTCTTTTGATCTTAATACTGTAACCCATTCCTTAAACTCCTAGAGTTACCAAGGAAGGATTACAAACACTACCAGCTACCCTTGAGCATGCCAGTGAGTCAGGTCAATTCTGCCATGTATAAGTCAGTGGGTCAGTACCTACTGATCCAAAAATTGCTCTTGGAGTGATTTTTCATTCTCTCAGAAAATAAACGACTCCAAGAAAAGCTGTTCACAAGGGAGTAATAGATCTATTGACTTAACATTAATGCCTACAAAATTAGTTTCAACAGCTTTTTGGGCGATGTAGATCATTACTGTTTGTTCCCCAACCAATCAGGTCAAAGCTTTTCCTATAAGTGCAGATGGATGTTCATTCTCCCATAAGACAGTCCTTTCCATAATAGGCTAGCTCCAAGAGCAGTCATTAAATTGAATAACAATTGACCTCTCTACAACTGTGTTCTTTAGACCTGATTCTGTTCTCTGGAGTTACACAGATAAAGTCTGACTCCTATCAGCTATTAGGAGAAAAATGTACTCTTTCATTTTTTTCTTCTCTTTAAGCCCCTTTCCAGTCCCTTCTCCACTCAGAGGACAAAGAGTTTAGATGACTGATTCTTGCTTGAAGATGTCTTGCTTGAAGAGAAGAAAAATAGATAAATAATCACATAGAAAAAAAAGAGTGTCTTAAGAATGGAGACTTCTTGTCCTAGAAAAGCTCTTTAGATATTGTACAGAATGGTTACTTGCCTGTGGCCATCTCCACCGACAATGAAAAAGGAAACGATAGGTTTAAGGCAATGTTTTCTAATCTATAGATGCTGACAGACAAATAAAAGCCTCTGTGGTTCTTTACTGTAAGTTCTCAGGGAAGCTCTATATATTGCCTAGGTGGCATCTAGTACTTGACCACAGAGCACTTTTTTCATAGAGCACTTTACGTGTTTTATGAGACATATTTTAGGAAATCATGATTTCAGATATGCTGTGGAGACAAAGACAAGACATTGAAAATACCTTCCTAATTGATTACTGTTGGATCCTGGAGCTGGTAGCCAAGGAAGACTATGCAGTTTTCTTCCTTGGAAGGTTGATAGATTTGCCCTCCTTCCCTCCTTCTCGCATCCTCCCCTCCGCTTAGTATTAGCTTGAGGCACCCACCTGCTTGGGAGTGTTCAGGTGTAGGCCTGTGGTATAGGAAATCTGGGCGTCTAGATCCTTTCCATCCCCATGATTCTATTTTTATGGATCCCAATTGTGGTAGTGTTGCATGGAAGGCACAGCCTAGCTGGGACAGGAGGTAACTGAGAGTTTTGGCCAAGAGGAGAGGGGGCTAGAGATGGGAAAATTGATGCAATTATTTTTGGCAGGAGTTGGAACCAAAGCAGCAGGAGAGAGTAAGTTTTAAGACTCTTTGGCAAAGTAACTTCCTAATCTGTCACTGAGTATGTGTAAAAAAGTGATTAGTGGGTCTCTATATTTATCATGATTACTCACAAATATGCAATTTACATAATATATACAGCACATTAAGTACTATGTCACCTTATATAATGTGCATATGTATAATGTATATGCATGTTATGTAATGCCAGTCTGGAGGCTCTTCCAGGTTCTGCCAAGTATTTCCTAATTTATTTGGCAATTTTAATGTATCTTTTCCATCTGTGGAAAGAACTCTCTTGAGAGGAGCTGGTCTCTGACCTGAATATAATCATTCTACTAAGTCTATCTCCACTCCCAACTCACTGGGGAAACCCCACAAAGATTAAACCATAATGAGACACAATTCTTAGCCCATCAGTTTAGGGACGACACAATGTACTGAAGATTTCCTGTTTTATTGTTTTTATTTCTAGTGGGTTGGAAGTGTGGGGGCAGGTGAGAACATGTCTGTAGCATGAACAGAATCATAATACGACAAGAAATAAGGAACTATGTTCTCCCCTAACTGTGTGGCTCTGCGAAGTCATATAACCTCATTAAGCCTTGTTCTCTTACTGTTGAGATAATAATACCTTCTCTGCTAACTTCAGAAGTTTCTGTGAAGGTCAATATGATGAAGTATTCTATGATAAGAAACCACAGTCACAGTGTTTAAATGATGATCTGCAAAGTAAGATTAAATAACACAAGACTTACTAAGGTTACCGAATCGAAAGTGCAATTCCACAGAGGTTTCTAAGGAGAACTTAAAGTATGTATCTCAAGCAACATTGCAAGTCCTGTGCACTTGGGTAGTGCAGGTAAGGGCCAGTCTCTGTATAGCCACTTCATGAGACTTGTGAGGAGCTGAGAATCAATTTCACCTGTTGATAGTGTCGTGTTTCAACAGTCTTAGTCTTGGGGCATCAGGACTGAAACACATGCAAAAACTTCTGCAAGTGTCTTAGAATCAGTGACCACAAACCTGAACCCACCTCAGTTTCAGAATCAAGTGGCTTCTGAGATAGTACCTGTAGTCATTCTGGAACTCGTTGGTCCCATCACCAAGGATCCCATCATTAAGGATATTCTTCACGTAGCCTGGTTTTCCCTTTGCCCAGGATTCTGTGCTGTTAGGTCGAGGACAATGGTCCCACATCTTAGTCCCAGATGGTCTTAGAGGATTGCTTCCTTCAGAGTTAGGTTCAGCTTGTACACAAAATCTTAATATTCTCTTCCTTGGCCAAAGCTCCTGGCCTGATGCAAGGAGATTAGAGGCAGCTCAGTGGAATGATGTCAGGTGGACACAAGTTTCCTCTTGAGAAATCTCAGAGAGGGATGGAGACCCAATGAAGCTTTGCACAGACTTGCCCTTGGGAAAGAAGAGTAATTGTGGCACCAGCTGAATGAAGCCCGTTGAGCTCTCCTGAGACCCCTTTGTCCTAGATGGCAGTGTCTTGCAGCAGGTGCCTCAGTCCTCCCTGTGACTCTCCACTGAGGTCATCCTTGCAGTTAGGGGTGTTTCCAAACTGAAAGACCATGATGACCATGATGAGGTGACATGTGAAGAGTTCAATTTGATTATCTGCCCAGTGCCTTCAAACTCAGATCAACTTCACTGCAGTTCAGACTAGACTGAACCCCTGAGAAGCATCATGAGACCCCTGTTTTCTCCTGTGGGCTTGTCCCATCCATGCATGTGCTATCCATGTGTTCTTCCCCGGCAACCTGGATCCAAGAGGATTCACTTCTCAGTGACCATAAATGATCCAATTCTGAGATGTTCTTTGCTCTGTTAAATATCTTCTTAGTGGCGCCTACTCTCAAACCACATTAGCCAAGATTCTACAGACAAGCCTCAACTTTTCTGAGACTCAATTTCCTTATCTGAAAATGGGAGAGTAAATCCTGCCCTGCATATCTTTCATGATTGTTTTGAGGATCCAGAATAGGAGTTCTCAATCTCTTCATGATAAAGAGCTACTTTCATTCCCTTAAACCTTATGACCACCATAGAGTAATGTGTCTTGATAATGAAATGGAGTAGGGGAGTATAACTTTCTTTTTCTTTCTCATGTTTTGTTCCCATACTACCTATGTTTTTTCCCCAATCAGGAAAAGTCCATTGTAAATAAATATTTATACATATAAATATATAGATTGCATACACACACACACACACACACACACACACACACACACACGACCATCAGACGGTCCTTCAGGTCATCCTCTGGGATTGGGGAGTGCAAAGAAATAGGAGGAAACTGCCTGATGGTTTGTCTCCTGGTTTCCGCAGCAAAGTCCCTTCCATCCCATCTTTTCTGCCTTCAGGAATAGTCTGCCACCAGGACTTGGAACTCAAACAGGAAACACACTCTGGCTTGAAAAAGAAAGAAGCTGGGGGTGGTTTTTTTTCTTCCCTTTTTACACAATATTATGACACCAATTTGAAAAAATAAATCCCAGTTTCTCTGCTTTTCCCTCCCAGGTGTTCACAGAGTTAAGAAAATAAATACCACATCTAAGGTGTGCTGCGCAGGGAGCTCTGGGGGTTCTTGGAGCTGCCTCTAAACAAACACACAGCCACCAGAAGAAGCCTTTGGGAAAATAACAAGTGCCCACTGATGGCACAGAAAACCAAGAATGGAAAGAAACACAGTTTTCCATGGCCTTTTTTTGCCTTCTCAGCAAGTTCAGGGAGAAGTTGTCGCTGAAAGAACAACCAAGAAACCAACGTGCGCTTGCTGGGCCCTGCCAAGGATTATGCTCTGAGAACCGGAGGGCGTTTTGTCTCGGTACAGAGGGAGCTTTGTGCAAGTTCTTTGGAACTGGAGTGCTTTCCCTTGGCCACATCCGATCTCACCATAGGCAGGAAACCTGTAGTCTGTTCCTTGCGAGTGTCCATGAGGAAACTTGCAGGCTGGTGGAAAGAAAGGAGGATTTCTCCTTCAGTCTCAGAAAGTTCTACTCAAGACCCATGGAAGTGGAGGCTGCCGCATGAACCAACCACACCCGTGTGGGCCCTAAGTCCCTTCAAAATGTTTTGTTGGCGCTGGCTCTGTTGGGGTATACCCATTACTGAAATGGGTAGACTGCATGACAAGGTGAAGTTTTCTTCCTGAAGGGTGACTTTGCTTCCACTGATTGGAGAAATGTGTGTGTGTGCATATGTATGTGTGCACATAAATGTGTGTGTGTTGAATGTGTAGTTACAGTTTCTTGTTTTCTCTCATGGTTAAGCTGGCATTTGGCGCACTGTTTAGTCTTTTGAACGGCTCTTCCTCCTCAGTGAGAAGAAGCTGCTCTTCTGGGGAGGCCCCATCATCATGGGTGCTTGGTTCTTGTGGGTAATTTTAATCTAAAAGCAAAGAGGCAGAAATAAATTAGTGGCATGCAAATTTCAGTAGCCTGAGGTAGAGTGAGTCGCAGAGAAGGGAAAAAAGGCCAGCTTCAGGCTGGAAGGAGCCCCATGCAGAAGGACAACTGTCCTTGAACGGCTTCAAAACTGGCAACTTGACCGTGACTGGGCCTTGAGTTTGGCACTGCTGGAAGTGAGGGGCGGAAACACTGGAGAGAGACAGGTGTGAGCTTCCCACATGGTGATCAGGCCACACCTGTCTTGTGTCCTGGCTATTCATAGATTCTCAGAATGTCACAGCCAGAGGAGACTTTAGGGACCTTCTCATTCAACCCCTCTGGATAAAGGAAATGGGAGCTCAATGCTCCACTGGGCCTTGGATTAGCCCAAGTTCACACAGTGAGGGGCAGACAGCTAAAGCCCTGTTTTTCAGATTCCCAGCCTCCAGTGCTCCTGGCTATTCCTGCCTGGGCAGTGCAGAGATGTCAACCAGTTGATCCAGAGGCTTTAGTCTGAACTCCGTTCAAGCAACATCATGCGGAGAGTTCCCTAGTGAGTCTGTTAGTCTCTTTTCTTAGCCTTCCAGGGAAGATCCTAATTTCTCTTAAAAGCATATTTTTCATTTTGTAATTTTAGGGTTTATATGTGTTTTCTCCTGGAAACATTGAGTCAATTGGAAGTGAAAGATACCCATGAATTTTTACTTTTCCCTTTCTTCCCAACCTTACCCTCGGGTCATGGTTTCAAAATGCTTAATCTATTTGAATGTGGCTTTGCGACATTGCCACCTTCATAATCAACATTATGATTCCACAATATTTATCAAGTGTAACCCATGTTTGGAGTAGGAAGATGATGTGGGAAAAGGAAGGACTCAGGATTCGAAGACCTGAGTCTGGGCCCTGATGCTTCCACTTCTTTGCTGCGAAAATTTGGAAGAAACATTTAATCTTTACAGCTAATGCTTACTGAACTATAAAATGAGAATGATAACATTTGTCTTATTTTTCTCACGAAGATCAAATGACAGACTGTCAATAAAAGCCCACGGTAAACTGTAAAATGGAAAGTAACAGCTATGTACTTGTTGGCTTATATTGGAGGAGAAAGAGAAAGATGGTGTCAAAAGAAATAGAGTCTATGAACCCATTCTTGTGGTTTTTACCACATTACTGGAGATGACAGGATGACTGCAGAGAATAATAGAAGAACTCTTGAAGATAGAGATCCACAAAGAAGTTGAAATCAATGCAGGATAAGCCCAGTAATGTCAAAAAGAAGATGGGTAAGACATTAAAAGAGTCTAAGGGAAGCAATGAGGGAAGAATGTTAAGATTTGAAGGAAGAGAAGAAAATGTGTTGACAAATAGAGAAAGAGAAGGCACTGGGTAGAGGGGCCATGGATTAATAGGTTGAGTATGGGACTAAGGATGAGAAATGTGGTCGAGGCAAGACTGGATTCATGTGAAGTAATGAGGAACCATAAGAGATGATCTTTTTAGGTTGAAGAATAACATGAAGAAAAAAAAAGAGTTTGAGGGAAATAATTCAACAGCTGTTGTCAGGGTGAGCTGGAGCGAAGTGTCTGGCTAAAAGGGCACTACTGTAAGTCAGATTTACATTTATAAGGCTCCAGGAAATGGAAAGGAAGGATGGGATCAAACAACATTGTGGACAATTAGCATAATCTGGTGATGATAGCTGAAAATAACCCTTATGTTGGCTTCTGCCAGCCTGGAGCTCTAGAGGGGAATGATTCTTTCTGTTTTGTGGTAGTCACCAGACGAGCAAACCGAGAATGCAACACCATTTTGTGTTGTGTGTCTTATTTTGGGCGTTGTTTATTCCAGAATTCATAAAAATGAGGCAAAGACTGGAGACTCTGACACACTTACGTGTAGTATGCAAGTTAGCACTCTCTGGTGATAGTGATTTGTAAAACCCTTGTGGTAAGTCTTCGCTCACTCCTGAGTTTATGTGCCCCTTGAGGGGAAGGACTTCAGCTCCTTCACTGTGGCATTCCCTGAGCCAGCGCATGCCTGTTTAGAGTACATGCTGGGAAAGTACTGACTGATAAGCATGCCCGAGAAGAAAGAGAGCACGTCCTGGCAGTAGAGATGGCTGTGTCTGAGCCAGAAGACGCCTACATTTCCTGCTGGTAGAGCTCAATTTTTTCAACGATAGAAGACCCTGGCTTCTCCTTTTTCTCCCTTTAGCTGGGTCACTTATTTGCGTGTTAGCACCTCCAGGGCCAAGAAGAGGAAGTGAAACTTAAATCCCTCTAGTTTGTTTTTTCAGCAGTTTTGACAAAGGTCTTGATAGGGTAAGAGTTTGGGGCTGCTAAGTAGCATGATATTTTGGTCAGCTTTGTGGAATCTATTACTGTAGATAACTGAGAGAAGTATGAAATCATATTCTCATTTTCAGTTAAAGAGATCTCAGTCCCTTTCCCCCTAATTAGGGGGCTAGTGGGTAGAGTAGTTATGCTCCTATTTTAGGAATTAGTTGGATGTGGCCAAACCTGCTTTTCTGTAGTTAAAACCCAAACTTCTTTGGTAATTGGGCAAGTCAGACAATTAACTAAAGTCTCTATGATTTTCTTTAGAATCCTTCATAGCACAGCATCTGATAAGCACTAAGAACAGCAGCCCCGTGCTCTTTTCTTCATGTTATTCTCCCACCTAAAAGGCCATCTCTCATGGTTCCTCATTACTTCACATGAAACCAGTCTTGCCTCCCTCCCTTGCCATGCTCCCTTTTCTGCTCTATTTACAGAGAGAATTGGTACAGTGGACTCTTGCATGACAGTTCAAAATTCACAAAACGACTGCAGCATATAAATTCCCCTTTAAAATAGAATAACATGTAAAACTTTACTAGTGCTGCGGGTTGACTTTGCTTGAGGGTCAATTTCTGCAAATCAGCACATTTTTAAGACTGCAAGAGAAGCAATAAACTGAGGGACTTCTTCCTAAACGTTGCCCTCTCAGGGCAAATGACCAGATAATGCTTAGTAAAATGGCCAGTAACTGTGAATATGGACCCTTCCCAAACTATTTGGGAGTGTCTGAAGTCTGCTCTAGTTTTAACTTGGAGATAAGAAAGGCACAAACCCAAAAAGTTTCAGAGTCTCTGTGATACATATATATATTTTGAGTGGGAATCTCACTCTGTCGCCCAGGTTGGAGTGTAGTGGCACACTCATGGCCACCCCAGTGTCGACCTGCTGGGCTCTGGTGGTCCATCAGCCTCAGCCTTCCTGTTACCAGAACTACAGGCGTGTGCTACCACGCCCAACTAATTTTTGATTTATTGTAAAGACGAGGTCTCGCCAAGTTGCCTGGGCTGATCTCGAACCTGCGGGTTCAGGCCATCCACTCGCCTCGGCCTCTCAAAGTACTGGGATTACACGCTGAGCCACAGAGCCCAGCCCTCTGTGATATTTTTAAAAGTGAAGGAAACATTTTTGCTTAAAGTGAGCCTAAGAGAGGAGGGAAAGTTTGCATAGCCTTTCAGGTCTTAGCTATTTCTGGGTTCTCCAAGAACTTAAAATGCCTTGCTTCATGAAAGTGTTTCCTGCCATCAGAGGGCTTCAAAGGTAACTGGACAATCAGGTTTCACAAAGGGTGAAGAAGTGTGGGATTTATTGACAAGTCAAAAAGTTTGACTAGATGATTGGTTCTCAAAGTGTGCTCCCTAGACCAGCAGCATTAGTGTTACTTACAAGAAATGGAACTTACTAGAAATGCAAATCCTCAGGCATTCAAACCTACTGAATCAGAAAATCTAGGATGTGACCCAGCAGTCTGTGTTTTAAAACCCCTCCAGGTTATTGCATACTCAAGTCTGGGAATCACTGGACTAGATGCTAGGATCATCTTTAACTTTGAGATTCTACTATTGTCTAATTCTGGGGGAAGATTCTGATTTTTTTTAAAAAAATTTTTATTTGGGGTCCCACTCTGTTGCCCAGGCTGGAGTGCAGTGGCATGATCACAGCTCACTGTAGCCTCAACCTCCTGGACTCAGGTGATCCTGCTGCCTCAGCCTCCCTGGTAGCTGGGACTATAGGTGCATGCCAACATGCCTGGCTAATTTTTTTTTTTTTTTTGTAAAGATAAGGTCTCACTATGTTGCCCAGGCTGGTCTAGAACTCCTGGACTCAAGCAATTCTCCTGCCTTGGCCTCCCAAAGTGCTGGGATTACAGGCATAAGCCACAGCACCTGGCCAAGATTCTGAATTTTGAGTCTCAAGTTAAGCCACCTAACAGTGATGGTGAAGGATAAGAGATCATTTTACAGTGCTGCAAGCATGAGACTAGTTTTCTTAATAAATATATGTTTTATATGCATATATTTCTATGTATAAACAAATATATGCTAATTTTTAAGAATCTAGAAAATACAGAAAATAATTTAAAAATCACATAGAGGTAATTGTTAACTTTTTGGTATATTGCTCTCGGTTTGGTTCCATGTTTACATATTTTTACTACAATTGAAATCAGTTTAATCTCTTATTTTCATTCAATATTATTTTGTAAGCATTTCTAATGTCATTAAATACTTCTTAAATACAATTTCCAATGGCTGAAAAGGATTCCATTTGATAGATCTCACATAGTTTATTGAACCCTTTCCCTAAATGTTGGGCTTTTTTTCATTTTTTGCTATGATGAATAATATAGAAATTGACATTCTTGTATGTCAATCCATGTCTGCATTTCAGATAATCTGTATTTTACTTAGACTAAATTCTAAAAAGTATATAAACAATTTTTAAAAGTGAAAGTAAATGAAGTGGATCAATGTATATTAATACTTATAATTGATCTTCATACATGGCTCTAGATGCTTTCCAGAATGACTGTACCTGTTTGTACTTTACCTCAACTTTGTGAGTGTGCTGGTCTCACCAAACCCTTGACAGCAATGAACATTATCTTAAGACAAACAAACAAGCAAAAAAGCGGTGCTAATTGGTAAGTGAAACATGGCAT